ATTCTCTATTTGGTGCTGCCCTTGCATAAGCTTCCAGTGGTGCTGCACAGCTCTTCTCTGTCTTGACTGGAAGGAACACAGAAGGCCGAAGGTCCCCAGGGGAGACTAATTCCCATCGTAGTCTGGGACATTTCTTACCAACTACCGTTGGTTGTGGAGTCCTGAAAATTTGCTTGTTCTGGGAATCTCATTCCTAGGAGGCTTATTGCATCTGGGCAATGTACAGGGGCCAAGCTCAGGGCTATGTGTTCCTCTGGATGGCAGGATAGCCAAGACTTAAATGCAGCAGTGCTGAGAGTTTCAGTGACTTGTTCTCCCTTATAAATTTTACACTCTTATCACTGACAGTCAGCAGAGCTGCACTGTTAACCTAGTAGGAAGAGGCTTGTGTTTTTGGAACAAAATATTCCCATGGTGCTTGTATGTAGCTTAGCTGAGAAAGCAATGCTTTTATCTATCACAGCTCTTCTATATAGCTGGGTGCCTTCTCCATTGTTTTTGCTGAAATATTGTCTGGAGTTTTTATACAGATGTTCAGGGCTGAATTCTGTCCCTGGTTGCCCATCAGTCCTAAAGGTTGTTCTTGCAGAGCCAAACAAAGACACAATAGCTCCTGCTGTATTTATCAGTGTGAAACCTCACTGGGTGAAGCTGCAGGCTGGAGATGTGCGTGCTGCAGGCATGAAAATCAGACTTTTGTTTGCATGGCTCTGTTAAGCAGGCACGTTGTTGCAACCATGCCCTCCTTCTGTGATCTTAATACGTGAGACTGAGCAAGGCTAAGCCAGGGCAGTCCCTGCGTGATAAACTCTTAGTAGGTGGTGGCCTCCTCTGGCATTGTTATAACAGAATTTTGACCCAATTTGGTGTGAGTAATAACGTTAAACTCTTTGGGGTGCTGCTGTCAGACTACGTTGCTTGCTGACATGATTTAGGCCTTGGCTCTTCTCGTCAACGGAGAGATGCTGATGTTCTTGCTCAGGGAATGGCATTCTGCCAAACTAAAATACCTCCTTAGTAGCCTCAAATCCAAGTTGTGTTTCACTTCTCCTTTTGCGAATCTTCTGCTACGTTCATCGCACAGAAGGGCAGTAGTCATATACCTCTTGCACGCACCTCATTGCAACGGGGAACCACAGAGAAAAGTTACCTCCATGCAGAGAGCCAGCTCAAAATATTGGTACTGGTCAACTCACACTCAGACATGAAAAAGCCTCCTTAAACGTTGCATAGCATAATATTAGCATAAACATGCTAAACTCTGTACAGAGACGATTTTCACATCAACATTATACACAGCCTAAAATTGTCCTTGGTTACTCGAAAGCTTAAAGGAGTTGCCCCATGCAGTTAAAAGTGGAGTCTAGGTCTCTGTCTGCAAACTGCAGTGCTGTCTTTTGGGATAAAAGGTGCTTAACAAATGTAAGTTATGACAATAGCAAAAGCATTCTCATCCCGCTATGTCACAGAGGTGGTGCTCGGAGACACACATGCAGACAGGGAAAGAATGGGCCCCTGGCAGGAGAGTTTTCATGAGAGCCCAGCACTGACTGTGCAGAGCAAGGATTCTCGAGTTACAGATGGAGGGAGGAACAGGATCAGAAAAACAGAAATGGTTTGAAGTTCAGGTGATGAAAAGTGGTAGGCTGGAGTTCAAAGACAGGATTATTGGCGAGTGTTGCTTTAGTAGTTGGTGGGGGAAGAGCTTAAGGCCACAGCATTACTGCATTGCTGATTTATCAACACAGCCAACACTGTGTATGGCATTTGAGTCACTTCTAAATCCAGCCTCTGGCAATGAAAAGCACATTTAATCCATGTGTTAGGTTGTTTGAAGAGGTATCTGTCTCTTGGTCTCTCCTCGAGGTTGGGATTGCTGAAATTGAAAAAGAGGTGAGAGAGGAGATTTTAACTGTTTCGCAAACCTTTCTCCTTTTTGAGGGGGTCAGCTCTCCAGTATCATTTCTAATGCCTGGGATACGGAAAAATGCAAGGCTCTCTCCCCACTGGCCTCCTACAGAGAGAAGCCCGCCTGTCTCTCCTGTTACTAAGGGAAAAAATCAAAGAAAGGATCTGTATTGAAACAGAGTTTATTGTTTTTAACAACTTTATTTTTTTCCGAGATTAATGCTCTACATTTAGGAGTTCCGGGATTCATTTGCACTGTTGGCTCTGATCCCTCTGCAACAGCTCAGCACTACAAGATAAAACACTGAAAAAACTCCTTTATTAAAGTAATTCTCCTTTGGTCTTTTTCTTTGATTCTCTTCCATGAAAAGAATATCATTGTTTGTCTAGTTCCCTCAATGGTTAGTTCTGCTTCTGTTTAATACCCCCATGCTCTATTAGTGTGCAAGCGGCTCACATTGGCTGTGGGAGGTTACAAACTGAAGCTCCAAGAATGTCACTGCTAGAATAGGCAGTCAGATCAAGTCTGAGTTGCATCTGTGGAGTTACACAAATGGCCTGGAATAGGAATGCGACAATCAGAGAGCAAACGTAAGTTACGTTTGCAGGTCTGCTTGAGAGATAGCAAAGGGTATCCAGAGCAAGAGTTAAAAGAGCATCAGTAAGTGGATTGAGAGACAAAAGGGTGAAAAGGTCTGGAATAGCTGGGAAGCTGAAGAATGACAATAAAGCGCATCATTGTTAAAACATAGGGTGGTACAGTTCAGTATGGATGCATACTGACAAAACTGGAAGGCAGTGGACTGGAATAGCAGGCTGATAGCAGATCACGACTGATCTGTGTACGCTGAAACAACCACAATCGCTATAAGACAGGTTCATACTGAACGGACAGAGCTGCCTGTGGATTACTAACCACTTTGCCTTGGCACTGCATAGTCACAGGAATCAGTCACATCAGTCACAGGAATACAAATTCACCTATAATAAGCACCAAAAAGAGGGTGCTAACAGAATCCAAGGAGAAGCATGTGAAGATCCTTTTATATTTTTATAGATATGAGATGTAACAAGTCTCAGAATTAATCTCCAGTGGCATTATGGTCCTTCTTATGGGTTGTTTTGTCTGGGCGTCTTTAGCTAGGTGCAAAGGGACTCAGCAAGCAGGAGACATATAACTTAACAGTATAAAACAATTATTTGTTGGCTAACCCACAAAGAAGCTAGCTAGGATTTAATCAACTATTAGGCTATGCATTGGCATGCTCACCACCCCTGTAAAGGCACCCGAAGAATCTTTGCTTGCCAGGCAAGCATCAGTCAGGAGGGGAAGAGTCAGCCTCCATGGCTTCCTGGGACTAATCCTCAGTGGTGCTGAGTTGCCATCTGCCGCTAGCTCTGTCAGCACTGGTGGCACTGAGAACTCAGCTAAATGAGTTGATCCTTGATGGTCCTAGTCAAGGATCCCTGATGATCCTTGACTAGTCCCCAGCTAGACTGACTATCTTGAATAATCCTCTTGGCTTTTTCCTCCAAGATTTTAGATCTTTCCATGCTGGTGTTTTCCCTCTTGAATCCTTGCGCTACGGACGATCCCATCTCAACAATCCTACATCTGTATGTAGTTTTTGCCCTTCTTATCTCTCTACAGATTTTCTCCTAGTTCTTTCCCCACAGTCTAAGTCAAGGTTACACAGCTGTGCCATATCAAAGGAGGGCCCTGGATCCTTGATACACAGGCAGCTAAAACCCTGGGTTGCTGCCTGGTTGGTGGGAAGCTTACAGCAGAGGTTACAGAGAAGGAGGGTTACAGTAGCCCACTGATTTAAAGGTGGCTTGATTCTGGAGCTTGCTCAGTTTCACCTGAGGTCCTGTCTCAGTCCTAACAGGAGACTCGGGAAATAGCATCTGAACTAGAGTTGTTGTCAGTACGGTTTCTTTCTAGGGCTTTCTGGTTAAGAACATTTGGATCGGGCAAGTTGGCAGTTCTTCCCCAGGCATACAGCCTTGGTGCTTTTGTGGGAGGTGACATTAGGTAATGGAGCCTTTGACTTCAAAATCATTGCTTCCAGATGAACCTAGCTTAGTAACTATGAACGTTACTTCTATGTTGGAGATGTCTGGTGATCTTCACAAAGTGGATTGCAAGAAGATCTGCTAGCAGTGCACTTGCTTAAAAGTGGCACTACCCAGCTATTTCTCGTCTTGCCACTGGCAGTCTCAGCCGTTGGGCTGCAGGGATCGTGAACCAGCCATGGGAAATGAATAACTCTCTTGATCATAGAAGTGGTCCTGCTGGGGTACGTCTGAGTTATGTGAGCAGGAAGTGGTGAAGAAGCGAAGCTCATGTTGCTGTTTCCCCTGCCACATCTGCTCTGTTGATGAAAAGCAGGCTTTGGTTTGCAGGGCTGTCTGGTACATTTCAAGCTCCTAAGTTATGAACATTGAGGTACGGTATGTACATGCCTTAAGTTTGTCAGTGCTACAGCTTCACACTCTGCATGCTCTGAAACAAGGAATGCAGCCTTTCTGCAGAGCAGTTTTCCCTACTTGAAAGTTGTGGTTACCCATGCTAAGCCATCACACAGAAAAGTATCTTTTAACCTTCAGTATTGTGGCACATGTCCAAGAAAGAATGATATATATTGCAGGCTGTTCCTTTTGTCCACAGTTTGCCTTTCTCCTGGGATAAAGAGTAAGTCATTGAAGAGGGAAAATGCATGCAGAGTCACTTGCTTCATTGGGAACTGTGACAGAGTAGTGCTTGGTTTGCTTAGAAAGTTTTCCCTACTACCAACTTATTTGGGTGAAGCGTGCAAACCTTTCTATGAGATTGCTGGGGAGAAAGAGATCTTTTGGAATGAGTATATGCATTGGTTTGTTTGAATTACTAACTTGAGTAGGGTATAGCTTCTTGGTCATGCTATTGCTTCTAGCTGCTAATGTCTTTCAGTGTCTTGCATGTACTGTCTAGTAATGGTTGGTACACCCTCATCCTTGTACACATCACAGCATTGCCTGTAAGGTTGCTATAAGGTAGACTCAGCAGACCGAGCAGCTCACAGTTGATGACAAACTAACACTTCTTCCAGCTTTGCTCTGCAACCCAGATACAGTATGGAAGCCATCGCCAAGTTTGATTTCAGTGCTTCGGGAGAGGATGAGCTGAGCTTCCAGGCTGGGGATATGTTAAAGGTAAGTGCAGCCCCAGGTTTGACTAAAGGACAATTATTAGCTTTGAGAGTTTAGCTAGATCTTGCTGTGCTCCCATTTGCATTGATAAAACAAATTGTCCCAGACACCTACCTATAAACTGGGATACAAACATGGAACACAAGTCTCCCATAGAGTCTGCTACTGGTCAAGTAACAACTCCCAGGTCACTTGAGTCTAGGTCCACTCCACTTAATTTTAGATCCCTAAACTATGGACATAGTTGCCCTGCAATTCTCCAGAAATCGGTAGGGAAGGATAAGCATCTTTGCTGGAGGAGAGATCCAGTTCCTAGGCAGACAGATTTTGAGGGGCCTATCTCTTTTCATTGACTCTATAGGTAGTCTAGGGTGACTCCATCTAAAGATAGGTAGGATGACTGTAGGCTGGAGTGATTGCTGTCTTCCTTACTTCCAACTCTTAAACTGTTAGAAAGACGGTTTTCATGCATTATAGAACTTACATCTAACTTTTAAGTGTAAGTAATTAACTGTAGTTGTCACAGGGGTTTTAGGCAATTGCAAATGGAAGAGGAAATGTCCACAAGATAATCTGTTACACACATAATGAAAGAGCTTAAGAGGCCCTGGGGTAATAATTCTATATACCATCCCAGCAAGAATTAAGCAGTGGAGGAATGGCAAACTGGCAGAAGGGCAGTTGATCATCAGCAATACAGAGCATGTGAAAGTCTCCTTAAAGCTGATTTGCATTTGTTGTTATAGAACGGTTCTTGTTAACCCTACTGAAGTCTCACAGATGAAGTCACATGCTGCTCCACCCCAAATTAGCCACTTCTCAGCCCACAGCATAGCTGTTCTGTTTCAGGTGAAAAGGAATGAGTATAACTCCTTTCTAAGGCCCGCACCTCCTTCACTGGCCGAAGGGATGTTGTGCAACAATAAGATCTAAACTTGTGTTCTGCCAGGGAGACTTTTATCTTTCCCTCTCCAGTCCTAGCTGTTCCAGTTAATATTGGCTCTCAGCCTTGCCCCTTCCATCACCACCACTTTTTATTTTGTTCTCCTTTTAATTCTTGAAGCTTAGACAAAGCTGGTGGCATCGAGAATTTATTAAGAAATTTTCTCCAGAGAGCTATGAGAAGTGCTCTGGAGAAATCACTTCCTCTCTTTAGGGTAGAGGAACACTTCACTCGATACCTCGTTCATAATTCTTCCTTAAGTCAAGAGTAGTCCCCATGTCCCCCCGTCCCCGATCTTTACCTGATAGCCACTTACTTAGGAGACTGTGGTTTCATTCAGTCCCTGGCAGAGGTGTTGGTGTTGGCCAGATCAGTTCTCCTTCTGTTCCTCACTTTCTCTTCCTATAAAATCATTATAAGCTAGAGTTTTCTTTCAAAGCACATTTTAAGCTATTGCTGAAAAGTGTGAAATAACAGCTACATAATAGTAGTAGTAGTAGTAGTAGTAGTAAGAGTGGTAATAGCAGTAGTTGTCCCTGAGACTTCACTACCAGAAAAGCCAGACTGCCTCTTACTTTAACATCGTTGAGGTGAAAAAAATAACACCTTAGCAGCCCAAGTCACAGTAATAGTAAATTATCCTGAGTAACATCTCTCCTTCTGGCATGTACACACATACATGCATACCCCATCATGAGCCCCCTTCTGCTGCCTGCACAACCTGCTGGTTGTCTTTATGAAAGAGATAAGATGAACAGTATTGATGTAGAGATTAGAAAACAGGAAACATGAGGCCCTCAACCAGTAGTGACAGGAGGAAATCCACCCTCCCACCCCCCTCACATCCTTCTCTGAGAGAATGACACACAGAAACCTGCCAGCTCTGCACCACAAACCAGCAAATGGTTTGTTCTGGAAATAGCAGC